GCAGCCGCAGAGGCCTGTGGTCTGCGGGGCTGGGAGGACGGCGCGGTAGCCTTCCCAGCTGGGGTTTCCTACAGCACATCGGGCCTCCACCCCGGAGCCCCAGCACGAAATGGAGGGCCCAGGGTCTGGCCATGGCCCCGTGTGGCCACAGTCCCGGATGTGCCAGGGCAGTCAAACTTGTCCTCAGCTGACCAGGTCATGCCCGTGGAAGTCCAGTGTGGCCTCAATGCCAAAAGAAGAGAATTGCATTTGAACAGACGAACTTAAGAAAAGGACGGTGATTAGAGGGAAACGTAACTCAGCTTCATGGAATCTCCTCCCCCCCCCCCACAAAACAAACAAGCTCTCATGTTGTCAGTAAAACATACATAATAGATCATACAGAACGATTGCATCAATGTTAATTACCAAGTTGTCAAGCCTGACAAAGCTACGGCACCGCCGTAAGTTGAAAGTATATCCCCGTCATAGAAAATATCAATCGGATGTGAGGCAGAGTCTGTAACACAAGTGTTTCCCGTGGTGTGGAACCGCCTGCATGTTCCTGTACCATGTAGGGTTGGGAACTGGGCTGTGGTCTCAGACAGCCCGGAGCTTGTCTTCCGACCCTTCCGCTCTCTAGCTGGGTGGCCTTACACCAGCTCCTGCACCTCTCTGAGCCCCAGTCTCCTCATCTGTAAAATGCAATAAATTAAATAAGATAGTTTGATAATTAAACAATATACAACACTACCTATAATATATGTTACGAGATAGTAATATAGAAATAAGAGAATACAAGGATGGCGCCTGGCACCCAAAAAGCTCAATAAATGTTAACTGTTATCAGCAGTCACCCACCGCCCTGTGCCAGGTTTGGAGAAGGGCTGCCTCAGAGAGTTGAGGGTGACCAGCGAAGCCAGGCAGGAGAAACCTCATGTGGGTCACAGAGAAGTGGGGTGAAAGCTAGAGACTTGGCTGCATGTTGAAGTGAAGGACTGGGCTTCCAGTGAAGGTGGCGATGGCGGGCCCACGCCTTTAACCTTGAAGTCTTGCACTCGAGAATATTTAGAGAACTGGCAGCTTCATGTGAGGCTGAGTGTTTCTAGTGGTTGGAAAAGGGCCATCGGGACAGCTCTGGTTGCTGGCCAGGCCCGACGCGTCACGGCCGGAGAGCAGGGGGCCGGAGTGCCCTTCCTCCTGTGCCCGTGACCACAGGGCGGGGGTGAGGGAGAGCTTCACTCGTTGTCCGGAGTGGAAGCTTCGTTCTGCGAAATGGCCGAAGCAGTCAGCAAGTGATGGAGTAGCTCTTAAAAAGAAACCTGGCATTTAATTAACTTTTCAAAGTGCTGGTTCAGCAGCCTCTGTGTTTTACATTTTGAATATTGAACCATCAGATCTGAATTGCTCTGGACCCGCCAGGGTGGGGAGCACCTGCCTAGCTTTTATGAACGCTGCGGAGTCTTGTGTGAATTTCAGGATGGCCAGCTCAGGACCACTCGGGATGGGGCTTCAGCCGGCGAAGCCTCCCCCCCTCAGCCCCGGAGGTCAGGTCAGAGTTCACGAACACTTCTGTTAGAGGAAAGCAGGCAGCTCGGAAGGATAAGGCAGAAGGTTTCCATTTTGCTGTTAGCACCCGGAGAGTGGGGAGAGGTGGGGAGCAGGGGTTTTCCACTCAGCCTCGTCTTAGACCCGCCGTGTGACTCGGGTGAAGGGCGCAGCGCTGAGCCCAGTGTCTCTGACGGTGCTGCTGAAACCTGCTTCCCTCCAGCGCTCAGCTGAGCTGCTGTTCATGGCCTCGGAAGCCTTCCAAGAGTAGCGAAAAGTGCTCTCTCTCTGCATCGGATGGTCTCATGGTGCTCCTGTGATGTTCCAAGACCCACTCATTGCCACTTCTGGGGAAAGAGGCATGTCACCTGCCATGGGGCTGGACTGGGTCACACAGTTTCCTCAGAGGAATGTTTAAGGAAGAGATGACCCGGAACCCACAATCCTCTCCCGCGGCCTCCACCCCACACTGTCTGTGGGAGGCGGGACTTCAGCCCCAGACCCGCCTGTTACAGACCCTGGTGGGCTGCGGTCGACCGACTGCGGGTGTGTGTATATATGAAACTGAGAAAAAAAGTTTATGTAGTACTTGGTTCACTTTCTTTCATACTCTATGCTATTTAAAAATAAAAAGCCGGTGGTGATTTACTAAGTCCATTTCATGAGTCGCTAATGGGTCGTGACCTGTATTCGAAACCACTGTGCTGGGCTCTGTGTCCCAGCCCTGGGCTCCGTGTCGTTGTGTGGCCTAAGGGGCTTTTGGGGGCCAGGCAGGTAAAGTAAACCTGTGAAGTGTGAATTTATTTCAGAATAGCACTTAAATTCTATTCCCGAGATGCATATACAAATTATGTTCACAATCATCCTTCTGTAAAGAAATATGCTCTGCAGATTCCCCCAAAATGTGCTTCCCACGTCATCTTCCTTTTGCTTTCTCGTGTCTGGTGTTTGCGTAGCCGCAGGGAACACTTCACGTGCCTCTTCACGTCCACGAGAAAAGCAGCGGTGCAGCTCGGGTGGTGAAGAGCCAGTGGCCGGCCCTGTGTTGGGGGGGGCGGTGCTGGGGGCTCAGCTCTTGGGTGGGGGCAGCCGCAACCAGGCTTCCCTGAGTTCTCCACGTGGGAATGTATGCCCAGGGCTGCCAGGCTTTGTATTTGAAGAATTTAGAAATTTGGATTTTTGTACAAAATCTCCCAGCTTGGACAACATACTCGTGTTAAAACAGAGCAAAATCAAAATACACAGCAGTGTGGTCCAGACCAAGCTTACCTGTGAGCTAGCTGAGGCCTGGAAGTGGCCAACTTCATCAAGCGCAGGGCGTTCTGTGCCGTTTTCCCGTCTCCCCCGCAGGGCAGAAGGCTCACAGGGCACCTGTAGCAGTTCTGACTGAGCGAGAACGCCACCTGAGGGCACCCCGGCAGGCCCACCATCCTTGAGGGCCCCGCTTGGATCTTGCTGCATCCTGTGGGGTGAAATGAGACGCCGGAGGAGCCTTGGCTCCCCCTAGAGTGAGAGGGAGCAGGCTGTGGGCTCAGCAGCAATTAAGGCAAATATGAAATTCATCCCCTTTTTGGATGCTGAGTGGATAAATGGCAATTAGTCAGCCTTCCCCCGTAGGTTAGCATTTTCACTGTCTCCTTCAGACAGAATCACCGCCACTTAGGAAGGACCAGCTCAGTCCTAACTTCTGCGGGGAATCAGAGATGGATGTGTCTCTTGGGCACAAACAAGGGCGCTGGCCTAGGCTACCTGGCCTCTTTGATCCCCTTGTTCTCTTGTCCCGGTTTTCATTGAAGCCCTTCTGCCATTGGTGACCTGTCAGTTCTGCGGGTGACTGACCTGTGGACAGGGGTTCCAGAGTTCAACCTCAGTGTGACAGTTAGAGGTAGTGAGTCGGGAGCAGGGCCCTCCCTCCTCCCACCCAGGCAGAGACAGCTTTGGCAGCTGCCTGGGCTCTGCCTTAGGCGTCCTGTGACTCAGAGCAGCACTGGAAGCCTCTGTCAGCCAGCAGCACCTCGGTGCTGCCCTGCGTGTCCGTTTGCAGTTGCCTCCGGGCCTGTACTGCTCTTCCTGTGCCACTCGCCCTCCGACCCCTAGTTCCTCTGTCTCTTGTGCCTTTGAGAGCCCCAAACCGCAGCCTGGGAGATCTGCTCGGAACTCTTCCATCCTGTTCTTCCACCCTGCCCCACCCATCCTCCTCTCCCTCTCTGACTTCAGCCAAAATTCCTTCCTTCCTTCCTTCCTTCCTTCCTTCCTTCCTTCCTTCCTTCCTTCCTTCCTTCCTTCCTTCCTTCCTTCCTTCCTTCCTTCCTCCCTCCCTCCCTCCCTCCCTCCCTCCCTCCCTCCCTCCCTCCCTAGTGCAGTTGAGGTCTAAATTTCATGGAAAGTAGTCTGTTTAAACTCGGACTTAATTTATGCTTACATGCTTCGGGGGGATTATCTGCAATTTGCAGGACTCGCCATTTGGTTCCAGTGTAGCTCTTGGCGGTGAGCCTCTGTGGGCCGGCACCGTTGAGGGCATCCTCCCCCTGGGCTGCTAGGACGTTGCCACTGCCCTTGGCCCCCCCTCATCATGGCTGTTGATTTCTAACTTAAAAGAAATCATAAAAAATAAAAACTCTGTTACTGTGCAGATGTTCAGACCCGTAGAAAAGTGGTCACCCCGTACCCATCACCTGTAACAATTGTCAGCATTTCTCGGTCTCATTCAGAAGACCTAAGACCAGTGTTCGCAGAGTGTCATTAGCATTCTGCTTGGACTAGAATGACTGGGACTTTGTTTAAGATGTGTGTTCCTGGGCTGCACATCCCCCAGATGAGCTGATGCAGACATCCCCGCTGCTGGGCCCAGTACTCTGCATGTCTGTTAAGCTTCCCAGATGGCTCTTGTGCACGTTCAAGTTTGAGAACTGGCGCCTTAGATGGGTGTCTGTGTGTAAACAGGCTTCCGGTTCCCGTGGAGTATCTTGAGGGCACTGCTTTCCCGCATCCCTCATGGGGGCTTCTGGTCCTTTGAGGGGAGGATATGGAAACTTGGGCTCTGACCCTGCAGCCTGGACTGTGTGGCTGGCCCCTCCCTTGTTGCTTGTGGGAAGCCGAGCGTGTTAACACTACAGCTCCAGCTGGAGCCCTAGGCCTCAGCCCTAAAAAAGTGCTCTAGACATCGGTCAGCTAATTGCTGAGAGAAAGGAGGGCACTGTGTCGGCTGTGTTATTTGACTTTCGAGCTCACTCGGCCTGCACTTAAACGCAGTCATTTAATGTGGAGTCATGCTGAGGTAGGGTGGTGAGAAGGCCTGATTACAGTGTCTGTAATCTCGTGCTGATTGTGGGCCTGGTCTGCAAAGAGGAACCAGCCTCGCAGCGCACTGGGCATAAGCTGCTCCACCCCTGCTTTTGAAACCCGTTCTCCAACCGCCTGTGCCAGTGCCTGAGCCGGGCGGGCTCTCACAAACCTTCTCTTTCTTTTCACAGGTCAGGAAGGAGGGCTTCTGAAGAAGTGGAAGAGTACGTTTCCAGTGTGGTCGCGGCACCTGTGTGATTGGGCAGCAGCGCAGCCTTTGTCCGGCAGCATTGGAAAAACGGCCAGTGAGAGTGTGGCTGTGGCTGGGGCCGGAGTCACCCTCACGGAATTGAGGGCCTGGCTGCCGCTGCCGCTTTAGCCCAAGGCCTGGGCTCCGGCCTTGACAGCCAGGGCACGTCCCCTGCCCTGTGGCTTTCAGAACTGTGTGTCCGGGTGTCAGAGTGCTGACCCGTGGGTTCCACTTTATTGATAGAAACAGACAGAAGCAGTGCCAGCTTTCTAAACCTGGCTTCTCCTAAGACTTGAATTTAAAATGAAAAAAGGAGAAAGGACGTTTCTAGGTAAAGATGGACTGCATCGTCAGGGCCATCGAATTTCATGCCTCCAGGCACATTCACAGTGCAGTCTGTGCGATGCCACCCCACGAAATGGTCCAGTCTGCAGCGCGGGCGGCCAGGCTTGGCGGACCCTGCCGCCCAGTTAGGTCTGAGCACGTTGATGGGGAGAGTGGATTCAGAGGCATTTTCATCTGGGAGAAAGAATGGATGTAGTAGAAATGTGGGTTGTTTCTGCATTTGAAACTGACGTTCTGCTTTCCCTTCTTTTTCCGGGGGCAGTCACCGCCTCAGACAGAAGAGCCTGGATGGATCAGATGACGGAGGAGGTAAGGTGTTCTCTGAGGAAGGCCACAGGGCTTCCAGAGATGTCCCCGAGTCCCCCTAGCATTTCCTGGGCCGCAGCTGAGGCAGAGATGCTGCAGCCTCATCAAAAACACGTGCGGTGGCCCCCTCTGTGTCTCGTCCGTGCTGCCGCCTCTGCGCGGAGCCCCTCACTGCCTTCTTTAGGTCCTTCTCGTCCTTCAAACCCCCCTCGTCCTTCAGAACTCAGCCAGAGCACCGCGCCTCTGAAGTGCCCTCCCTCCCACCCACGCGCTCTCTGACTCAGATGTTCTCTGGGCTCCTGCGGCCTCCTGGGCAAGGTTGTAACAATAGCAGCAACGAGAGCTAATATTTATAAGGTGTTGATTACATCGGGCACTGCTCTGCCGGATTATAGACGTGAAAGCATTTTTTCTCCACAACAACCCCATGAGATAGTACTGTTATTGGCCCCACTACTACTTAGTGGGGTAGTACTGTTATTAGAGAGCTGTGGGAGCTAAAGTACAGAGAGGGCAAGTGAGCTGCCCGTAGTCACAGAGCTGAGTGAATCACTTTAATTCTCTTTTTAAGATTTCATTTATTTATTTTTAGATGAGAAGGGAAGGTGAGAGGGAGAGAAATATCAATGTATGGTTGCCTCTCATGCATCCCCTGCTGGGAGCTGGCCTGCAACCCAGGCATGTGCCCTGACTGGGAATCGAACCGTGATTCTTTGGTTTGCAGGCCAGCACTCAATCCACTGAGCTACACCGGCCAGGGCGAAATCACTTTAATCCTTTGTCAGCTTGATCATTCTTCCCAGCAGGCTCTACGCTCGGCGCTGGCAGACACCATGTTCTGTTTGTCTCTGCATCGTAACCTAGTGGTCAGTCCATGGCTGGCGTGGCCGCCGAAGGAGAAGCAGCGCCAAACAGACCAGTGGCCGTGGCACAGCTGAAGCCTGTGCTCAAAACTCAAGAGAAAGTCGAAAGTTTGTGTGTACTTTTTACAAGAAGCCTATTCGAGAGGAGAGATTATATTTGGGACTTAAATTATCAAAGCCTTGTTTTTTAAATCTACATATTTCCCATTTCCACACTCTGTTCCTTTGTGTAGAACTCAGTTTCCATCTGGTATCATTTCCTTGTGCCTGAAAAACTTCATTTAACGTTTTGGGTAGAGCGGGTCCTCCGGCACAGCTCTCTCGGCCTTGTGTGTCGGGAAACGTCTTTGCTTTCCACCAGGGAGAGAATTCCAGGCTGACGGGCTTTTCCTTCTCCTTTCAGTGCCGTAAGGGGTCGAAGTCGGCGGCGTTGCTTCTCTCTGCCCCCCTGCGTGCGGTGTCTTTCTTCTCTGGCTGCTGTTAAGATTTATTTTCTCTAATCTTTTATTTCCAGCATTTTAGTTATAAAGTGCCTTGGTGTGGCTTACTTTGTGTTTATCCTACTGGAACTTCTTGAGCCTGGATTTATTGTTTTCATCAGATTCAGAGAATTTCAGCCATTATTTCTTTGAGTACATTTTTCTCTCCTCTAAATCCTCCTGGGACCCCAGTTACAGGTGTGTGAGTCACGTCAGTGGAAATGGCCACACAGGTCGTTGACGGGCTGTTTTGTTCTGTTCTGTTTTGTTTTGTTCTGGTCCGTGTTAAACTCTCTTCAGTTTGGGTAGTTTCTGTCGCTGTGCCGCTGAGTTTTTCCTCTTTAGTGTCTGATCTGCTGTGAAGCCCATCCGGGAATTTGTTGTCTCTGACTTCTCAGCTCTAGAAGCTCCACTTACTCTTCTGTGTAGAGACAGACGTCTCTCCCATTTATCTCCATATTTTATTCATGTTTTTATTTTTCCTTGATAATAGAAACTTTTATAAGTAGCTGTTTCAAAGTCATTTTCTCCTAATTCTATCGTCTTGTCTTTTCTGAATCTGTTTCTATTTGCTGATTTTTTTCTTTTGGTTACCAAGTCACACTTCGCTGCTTAATTAGCAGCTTTTCGACTGGGTGTTGGCCATGGCGAACATTCCCGGGCTGAGCACTTGGGTCTGTCGTCTTTCTTTACAGCCCAATGTATTCATTTTGGGAGGTGGTTAGTGTATAGTCGATCAACTTGATCACTTTGAGAATTGTGTTTAAACTTCGTTAACGCAAGTCTGGAGCTAGCCCGCCACAGTAGGACATGCAGGTGTCTCTGCTGTGTGCTTGGCTGTCCAACAAGGACCCTGCACTGGCCTGGGTGGAGCTGACCCCCTCCCGGCTCCATGGGAGCTCTGGGGACCGCTCAGCGGTAGTGATGCATTGCTGGTAGTGATGCATTGCCCAGCCTTGGGCAGTTTGCCCCTTTACACACACAGCGCAGTGTGCGGCCCACCTAGACTTCTGGAGCTCTTCCTGCATAGCACCCCCCCACCATATCCTGCAGGGTCCAGGAGGTACCTCTAGACAGAAAGCCAAGGTGCCTGCAGGGCCCCCTCACGTAGCTCCCTTCCCTCAGGGCTGCCATTCCTGTGCTGCCTTGTCCTCTGCCTGAAAATACTGTGTCTTACGTTTTCTCCAGTTTCCTAGTTATTGACAGTAGGAAGGCAGGTCCGGGACCAAGTACTCTGTCTTGGCTGGAAGTGGAGGCTGGAAGTGGAGGCCTGCAGGCTTCTGCAAACCAACCTTCACACATGACGACAAAGTGAAGGGAAGTAGATCAGTAAAACTTGGGTGGGTACCTGTGCTGTACAGCTGCCTCACAGGATTGGGGCGAGTGCCACATAGGACATTTGTGAGATGTTCTGGGATGATGGTTAAATGCGGATTCCCAGGCCACTCACAAAGCAGAAGCTGGCATTGGGGCCGAGGTGTGCATTAATTTCAGTGAGCTCCTGGGTGACTGTTTTGTACACGGAAGTTTGGCCACCCTGGTGTAGAGCCTCCGAAGCCAGCGCTCAGGACTGGAAGGGAGGGCGTTGCCCGGAAAGTTCAGCCTCACCTCACTCCCAAGGGGTTTTAAGGTAGACTCGGGAGGTCAGGAATTCAGTCCCGCTCCCAGATTTGATAGGGTTGCTAAGCACACTCTCATCATTCTTCGGCATTTTCTTTGCTTTGCCGTGATCTCTTATGGACAAGCTCATTCCTTTTGGCCAGGAGTTCCTCCGTAGCTGTGCTCACTAAACTCTAGCTGCCAAACTTCTCCACCCACTAATAATTCCCAGCGACCCTATTCTGCACTGCTGTTCCCGAAGTGTTTTTTTCCAGACCTGTACCTAGAATGCCCTCTGCCAGTGTTAAACTGGCTGCGGCAGTGGCTCAGTGATGGGTGGCTCCTGGCCACACTTCTGGTCAGCCTGGCCTCACAAGTTGTCCGTCACTTCAGCCATTGGTTGCACAGGCCAGCAGGGTCACCATCCTGGAGGAGGTGCCAAAGAACTCGGGGGGCAGGGTCCCTGCCAGCCATGGCAAAGCTGGCAGGTGGCTGGGGAGCAGTGTGCGTGGGAATTTTGATGCCGGCAGCTCTGAGATGCTTATTAAATCTGTGGTCCATAGGAGGCTTACCCAAGGGGTGCTCTCCAACCCTCTCCACACCCTTCCTTGGACCTCTCCAACTCCCTTCGCAGGACTTCTGAAATTCTATTTCTCCCCATTTTTCACCGTGTGAAAAGGGCTACATTTCCAGGAGTAACTGGTAAATGCTACAGCAAAGCCTTCTGAACACCGCGGTTTCCACCCGTCAGAAGTGCGTACTACGGGAAGGGTGTGCCGGCGGCCGCTGTGCGGGCATCACCCTGGAATCGAATTGTTGCTGTGTCACGTAGCTGTGTGGTCTGTCTTGTCCAAACCCGTCGCTGGATGTCTGAGCGACTGAGGTTCAGAGCTTATTGTGCAAAACGGCTCAGCGGGGACTCCGGTTCTCCCAGGAGAACTCTCTGTGCAGGCACTGCGGCACTCGCCAGCATCGCTGCGGTCGCCCTTGCGGCCAATACTTTTGCCGTGGACCAGCCACGAAGCCGCCTGTTTTACAGCTTTTCCTTGTGTACTTCTCAGCGCAAGTTTACGGGCAAGTGCGTCAGAACCAACTTCCTGGAGGTCTAACTCACACGCCACAGTAAAGCGCCTTCACCTAAAGGGCTCTGTTTGAATGGCGCCCACCGTGTGCGTCCTGTGGAACCAGCCCCTTGGTCAGGGCTCGGAGCACTTCTGTCCCCCTGGGGCTTCACACCTGCTCCCTGGCCCCTCCTTCCTCTGTCCCTCCTCAGACTGCTGGTCTGTTTTTGTCGGGATGAGACTGGTGTGCATTTTCTGGAATTTTATATAAGTTAAGTCGTATGTGTGTGCACTGCTGCGCAGCTTAGTTCACTTCTTGTGGTGACTGCGAGATTCATGCAGGTTGTTGCCTGTGTTGTTGGCCGGTTCATTTTTATTGGTAATAATGAGTCATATGCATATACCATATTTTGGTTATCTATTCACCGCTTAAAGGACATTTTGGTTATTCTTTATCCCTCATGTTAAAGATGAGCAGGCGCAAGCAAGAAAAGGTAGCCTGGCCTAAGGTCACGCAGCTTGTAAACAACGGCACCGGCACGAGGCAGGTTGCTGCGCTCACCACCGCAACACCAGCGCAGCGCAGCCCTACCCAGGACTGGGACACAGGTCTTGACCTCAGAGTCCTCGTTCCTACTCTCCGGGCCGTAACAGACAGCACGGCATCTCCTTCCCCAGGCGGGCTCGGACCGGCTGCCGGGGCCGTGCCGTGGGGCGCCCAGCACGACTGACCGACAGGATACTCAACACGGTGTCATTCAGAAAGGAGGGAAGATACCTCTGTTCAGAGAACACGTCCAGTATTTTTTTCCGTCGTAACCTCAGAACGTGAAATTTCTGATTTGGCCTTTATTTTGGCTCCGGAGGTTTGAAGCATAAAACCCTTCTCGATTTTACCTTCTAGGAGACGTGCCTCTGCCAGGCGTAAATCTGTCGTCCGTGCCGTCATGCTGAGTCCTTCAGTGGAAAATCAGTTCATATGTTACACTTCACACTTGACT